TTAATCTGTTTTTCTGTCTATAAGATATTGTAATTTAAAATAGAACAATTTTATATATATAAAGATATTCAACCAGATTTTTTTACAAAGAATAAATTATTTTTAAACAGCTTTCTATCCTCTACATAATCATTTGCAGTAAGATGGAACAGCTTTCTATCCTCTTCATAATCATTTGCAGTAAGATGGAACGGCTTTCTATCCTCTACATAATCATTTGCAGTAAGATGGAACGGAGCTGTTGATGATTTTAAATCATTGTCTTTGCTGTTTATATATGTTTTCACATACTTCCTTGTCTCTGATGCCTTTTACTTGTCTAGACTTGTGGTGATTAACACCCTGTGATACAATGTTGGCACCTTTCTGTTGTTGAAGGTCGTGTGGTAACATCTAGATTTCGTTTTTGTTGATTTTCAAGTTGTTGGGTTGCAGTCTCATTGACGTTTACCCTATGTCTCCTTGTATTCATATCTGATATGAAGGGTTGTTTGGGGTCGAACATTTGATATTCTAAGAGAGGAGAGGGATTTTGTCTTGCAGGAACATTTATTTTCAATAATTGCAGGGAGCAATGATTTATGGTTTGAGACATTGCTACATAAATATTTATTTTTGAGGGTCAGATTAATTATTGTTAAGCTACCCTTGAAATAATATTTATTTTTGCTATATTCAATTTCAGGTCATTGATTTTCAAAGTCATCCTGTCCCCATATAGTTTTTCAAAATATTTCTGGAAAAAAGTGCCTTAAAATAACAATGTATTCTGAATAGCATGTTCCTTATAATACTTGTCAAAATTTAGCAATTTTCTGATTCATAAAAAACTTCAGTGAATGATTTGAATATTTCCCTTTGTAATATAATGGAATATCTGCATACTTTTGCAGACATTTTTACATTTTCTTAAGTCTGCAACAAAGTCACAGAATATGAGAGTGAGACATGCTAATCCAGTGGCCTAGGATCTGCAGCAGTGTAATCTATTTGTATATAGAGCTTTATATTTCAGAGGGTAAAAAAACTTGGACTGTCCATTACCTTATATACAGGTGCCTTTTGGTTTGAGGATTCCATCTGGCATATGTCGATTGTCCTTGACCTCATTTTCATGGATAAAATGACAATGACTGCATAAACAACTGTATAGATGAAGATGTGGTATAACTCTCCACAAGAGACCATATGACACAGAAGGTTTATTTATGACTCCATTTTATTAATTTTATTGATTTTATTATGAGTGATAGGACAACTATATTTGGTATTTAGAGAATCATTGGAAGATATACATGTCCTTCAGATGTTTCCTTCATGTTACAGTTCAGCCATCAATGTAAAGTTTATCTGTTGGTTTCTCTCTAGGCATTAAGGTTTCAGTCTTGTAATTGACAGCTCTTTGGCTAACATGCTAAAAGCTGATCTTTCAAATATTTTTTTTAAGAAAATGTTATAAAGAAAAATTTGTATGCACATATCATGTACACTTGTAGTACAGTTATACTGTGATTTAATGACAACAAATGTGGAGGAAGCAGGAGTTACCTGCCTGGAAAGAATCACCAACTACTGCAGGAAAACTGACAATCCTAGTCAATTAAAATCAGAGTGGAACACACCTGCCACGTGAAGGTTTCAAACTCACAACCTCAAGTGTTGATGTCTAGTAATCATTGTAGAAGAACTATTTAGACTATGTATCAACTGAGGACCCTAGATGTATGATAAATTTTGTTCATATAATGATATATTTTGAAATCAACAAATTAAATATTTCTCTTTCTAAAATTTGCTGAAGGAAGCTTAAGTACATATACAAAAAAGTAAATAGTTTACTTCCATAAATCTGCTTGTTTTTGAAATTTTTATGCCCCCGCCTGGCAAAGGGGGCATTAAGTGTTACCCTAGACCGTCTGTCCTTCCTTTCGTCCTAAAAGTATTTTCACTAAGCATGCTTGAGAGGGGGCATTTGTATCCTTTAGACACATTCTTCTTTTTTGTAGTATGTGATGTACAATAAGTTATTTCCCTGCTTATTCTTTTTTAGCTCACCTGGCCCGAAGGGCCAAGTGAGCTTTTCTCATCACTTGGCGTCCGTCGTCCGTCGTCGTCCGGCGTCGTCCAGCGTCGTCCGTCGTCGGCGTAAACTTTTTACATTTTGAACTTCTTCTAGAGAACCACTGAATGGAATGAAACCAAACATGGCATGAATGTTCCTTATGAGGTGCTGACCAAGTGTTGTTACTTTGTAGCCGATCCATCATCCAAGATGGCCGCCAGCGGGGGACTTAGTTTAACAAAGGACCCTATGGGAAATGCATACAAATGACTTCTTTTAGAGAACCACTGAATGGAATGAAACCAAACATGGCATGAATGTTTCTTATGAGGTGCTGACCGAGTGTTGTTACTTTGAAGCCGATCCATAATCCAAGATGGCAGCCAGCGGGGGACTTAGTTTAACATAGGACCCTATGGGAAATGCATACAAATGTCTTCTTTTAGAGAACCACTGAATGGAATGAAACAAAACATAGCATGAATGTTCATTAGGAGGTGCTGACCAAGTGTTGTTACTTTGTAGTTGATCCATCATCCAAGATGGCCGCCAGCGGGGGACTTAGTTTAACATAGGACCCTATGGGAAATGCATACAAATGACTTCTTTTAGAGAACCACTGAATGGAATGAAACAAAACATAGCATGAATGTTCCTTACAAGGTGCTGACCAAGTGTTGTTACTTTGTAGCCATTCCATCATCCAAAATGGCCGCCAGCGAGGGACATAGTTTAACATAGGACCCTATGGGAAAGGCATACAAATGACTTCTTTTAGAGAACCACTGAATGGAATGAAACAAAACATAGCATGAATGTTCATTAGGAGGTGCTGACCAAGTGTTGTTACTTTGTAGCCGATCCATCATCCAAGATGGCCGCCAGCGGGGGACTTAGTTTAACATAGGACCCTATGGGAAATGCATACAAATGACTTCTTTTAGAGAACCACTGAATGGAATGAAACAAAACATAGCATGAATGTTCCTTACAAGGTGCTGACCAAGTGTTGTTACTTTGTAGCCGTTCCATCATCCAAAATGGCCGCCAGTGAGGGACTTAGTTTAACATAGGACCCTATGAGAAATACATACAAATGTCTTCTTTTAGAGAACCACTGAATGGAATGAAACCTAACATGGCAAGAATGTTCCTTATGAGGTGCTGACCAAGTGTTGTTACTTTGAAGCCGATCCATCATCCAAGATGGCAACCAACGGGGGACTTAGTTTAACATAGGATCCTATGGGAAATACATACAAATGTTTTCTTTTAGAGAACCACTGAATGCAATGAAACCAAACATGGCATGAATGTTCCTTATGAGGTGCTGACCGAGTGTTGTTACTTTGAAGCCGATCCATAATCCAAGATGGCCGCCAGCGGGGGACTTAGTTTAACATGGGACCCTATGGGAAATACATACAAACGTCTTCTTTTAGAGAACCACTGAATGGAATGAAACCAAACATGGCAAGAATGTTCCTTATGAGGTGCTGACCAAGTGTTGTTACTTTGAAGCCGATCCATCAACCAAGATGGCAGCCAGCGGGGGACTTAGTTTAACATAGGATCCTATGGGAAATACATACAAATGTTTTCTTTTAGAGAACCACTGAATGGAATGAAACCAAACATGGCATGAATGTTTCTTATGAGGTGCTGACCAAGTGTTGTTACTATGAAGCCGATCCATAATCTAAGATGGCCGCCAGCGGAGGACTTAGTTTAACATAGGACCCTATGAGAAATACGTACAAATGTTTTCTTTTAGAGAACCATTGAATGGAATGAAACCAAACATGGCATGCATGTTCCTTTCGAGGTGCTGACCAAGTGTTGTTACTTTGAAGCTGATCCTTCATCTATGATGGCTGCCAGATGGGGACAATGTTTAACAAAGGACCCTATGGACAATACATACAAATGTCTTCTTTTAGAGAACCACATACTGAATGGATTGAACCAAACATGGCATGAATGTTCCTTATGAGGTGCTGACTAATTTTTGTTACTTTGAAGCTGATCCTTCATCCATGATGGCCGCCAATGGGGGGACTTCCTTTAACATAAGACCCTATGGGAAATACATACAAATGCTTCTTCTAGAGGTGCACTGAATGGAATGAAACCAAAACATGGCATAAATGTTTCTTATGAGGTGCTGATTAAGTGTTGCTACTTTGTTGCTGATTTACTGTTCAAGATGGCCACCAGGATTTTTTATTAAATTACAGGACCAATATTAAACCAAATTTGGCCTCACTCATTATTAGGGTATCTGTTATGATTTTAATCTATTTTTACATGATTTCCAAAACAAAAGTAGAATCAGGTGAGCGACACAGGCTCTTGAGAGCCTCTAGTTAATAAATTCATTTGAAAAGTATCCAAATATGCAGATTTATCAAACCAAAAAAATTACTCTTGTCTTTCAGCACAACCATAATTGAATGGTCAATTTGATCTTATTTCCACAAATCGACCCATAACCAATTTTTAAGATAAACTTCAAAATCATATAAAAAATATCTCCTTTTCAAGGATTCATAATTGTGCAAGTGCTTCAAGTCCTCAACTTTGTTATTGTTTAATAAGAGTCCTTTTAAATTTCTAATATTCATGTTTTATTGCTTCAAAATGGATGAATTTCCAGGAATGATGTCATTTAATCACTTCAATTAAAGTGAAATTACTGTCCTTTCAATTAGCTGATCTTCAGATTTGTGCAGTTGAAATAAATACAGCAATTTACAATGATTAAGTAAATTAAATAAGAACTTTGGAGATGTAATTCAATTCCAAGATGGAAATCAACGTGCAAATCCTTGAACTTATTTGCATAATGTCCTATTTCTTCAAATTTCCATTTTGTAATTTGTAAATTTTTACTTATTATATTGTCAATTGTTCAGGAAAATGTTTTTTTTTTTTCTAGATTTTCAACTTGAACATGAACAAAAAGCTGCAATAAAGTAATCAAAATTTCCTGTCACGGAATCCAGAGACGAGGAAAAAAGAAATTGTCTGTACTTATAGAAAAATTGTTGTATTTAGTTGGAGTGAAACTGACGAGGGACATTGATTTTTTGTCAATTTGTAAGTATCTCCTTAAATCCCTATCATTTATTTACTGGACACTTTCCGTATGATATAGAATATCTGTTCTCAGTGGCATTTGACATCCATAGAATCATTTGATACATCTTATTATTAAAAGATTCATTTGTATTAAGCTGTCAGACTGGTATTGGAAGTTGTATGTGCTGTATGGAATAGTTTTATTAAAGGTAGGCTAGTTAAATTATTAAAACATAATTTTATTGTTTTTATAATGGAACAATTGTAAAAGTTGTTTAAAGTATTGAATAAGTACAGCATTAAAGTTTTGATATGAATATAATTTTCTTTAATTGTTGCTTTGATTTGAAAGATACATAATACAAATGTTTTAATTGGATGCATATTTTATAGATATTATAAGATATTCCATAAAATAATGTTTATTTATTATTTTGTTCATTTTTACAAAAAGTGAGGGGGTGTTATGGTTTTTTTTTTTTTTTAAATATTCTGATTCCCAACTTCGAAGATAAATTATTTTGATCAGGGAGAAGGAAAGTTAAATTTTCTGAATGAGATGCTGCTACAACAATAAGATATAATTCTAAAAAGCTATTGAAAGGTTGTTTGTCAATGATAGTAAATCCAAAGGCCAGGTGGAATAAAAGAATTTACCCTGAAAAAAGCCCCAAAAATCCTATTGTTGATGCAGCGTTTGTAAATAATTCCATATCGTAGCTATTGGTAAATTCATTTTCATAAAACATAGTAATGCCGTTCCATTTTGACAAAAAACATAACCAAAAGTCTAAATTGGTTCTACATTCTGTACTTAAATGCACGAAATCAGATAAATCATTAACTGTAGTTGACAAATTAATCAAATAAGAAACAAAAGACCTTCCAGATAAAATAACCCTGGAAGCAAAATTCAAATGTCCCAATAACTGTGTAAGTTCTCTTTTTGTACAAGATGATTTATGTAATATTTTGTGAATAAAATTGCATATTCTTTGTACCTTATAATCAGGTAATCTGGTTTCCATTTTATTACACCCCCGCTTTAAAAAAGTGGGGGTATACTGTTTTACCTCTGTCTGTCCATCCATCCGTCCGTCCGTCCCATGAATGTTTTTTCGTCGCATCCTTCTCAGGAACTACATTATAAGGATTTCTGAAATTTGGTTTCAGGGTTTATATAAGTCAGCTATACTGTGTGATGTGTTTTCAGATTCATCACTTGACAACTTCCTGTCTACCGAACACTTGCATCATTTTACACATGATAGCCAAGTTGAAAATTTTTGTCACATTTTTCTCAGGAACTACAAAACAAGGATTTCTGAAATTTGGTTTCAGGGTTTATATAAGTCACCTATACCGTGTGATGCATTTTCAGATTCATTACTCAACAACTTCCTGTTTATCGAACACTTGTATCATTTTACACATGATAGCCAAGTTGAAAATTTCAACTTCCTGTTTACCGTCAAGTATTTGGGCGGGGGTATCATCAGTGAGCAGTAGCTTGCAGTTTGACTTGTTTGAATCTAGTATGATACCCAAACATTCTAAACAAGTAGTAGGGCCAACTGTTTTATGACTAGCAATGGGAATACCCAAACATTCTAAACAAGTAGTAGGGCCAACTGTTTTATGACTAGCAATGGGAATACCCAAACATTCTAAACAAGTAGTAGGGCCAACTGTTTTATGACTAGCAATGGGAATACCCAAACATTCTAAACAAGTAGTAGGGCCAACTGTTTTATGACTAGCAATGGGAATACCCAAACATTCTAAACAAGTAGTAGGCCCAACTGTTTTATGACTAGCAATGGGAATGTTAAGACATTTAAATATTGTCATCTAGGTTACAACAGGTAAGTTAGACCAAACATGTCAAACAAGCTTGATAAGCAAGGTCGTAATAGAGTATTTTACGATGGTAAAGAAGTGTGTAACAATTTTAATAATGTAAGGGGTTGCTACAGAACAACAATGTAATCTTCTCCATGCATGTTCAAATTGTAGATCCACAGGTCACCCTGGACCTACATGTACAGGTAATAGACAAAACCATCACAATGTACACATACCTCAAAAAGCTTCACAAATCTTCAAAAATAACACTAGTAGCAAAGATGTCACTCAGACTAAACCTGATTACAAATCATGACTACATTTGGAAGATTATTCCATGGAAGCATCAATCATCTCTCCACCGTCAGTTCAACCCCTTTTAGTAGCACTCTGCTACGACCCTTTTGGAACCCTCTGTGTTCCAGTTGATTGGCGGAGTGTCCATGTCCACAGTGCTTGGCTACCCACTATACCAAGTGTTGTCAACAGGGCTAGTTTTTGCCTGGAGCAAAATTTTCCCAGCTGAGATTCTGACTCCCAAAGAGCAAATTTATATTATATATAATGAAAGTTAAATTTTATCCAGCATTTGTCAAATTGTTGAAGTTATTAAATTTGATCTCTTTTCTAGTCAATTTGTCTGGTTCTGGTTTTTATAGGGTCAATAATTGTGGTTTTTCATCTACATTGAGAGACTTGTAGTGTTTGGATGTTCAATAAGCTTGAATAAGCCCATGTTTGTATATACATGTTTATGTTGAGCTATCATTTGGCACCAGTCGTTCCATGGTTTAAGAGATAACACTTTGATAGACACTTTTACACAAAAGGATCTCCAAAATTCAATAAGAGGTCTTAATGTCATCACAAAGCACAGTCGTACCCAGGAACATATGGAATGTGTTAGGGGCGTCACTTGGCATTTGTCTTCACCAATGTGCTTACATGTCTATGTAGGCCTCAAGTCATCACTTTGCATCTGTTGCTCAATGTTTCTTAAGCTGTCATGTTTCCCCCAGGACGAAAGTATAAAGTACATTTTTTAGTAGTATTTTATATAGATATTAATTAATTAAGGTGTTATTGGTACATGCATAGGTAAATATTTTCTTATCTTTTGTACATGACATTTTATCCATTTGATCATTCCAATTTAGGTTATTGTTGATATATAAACCAAGAAGTTTTTCACAATCTACAGTCTCTAATTGTTCATCTGAAATATTGATATCTAAACTGTTCCCTGTTGAATAAAGCCTATGTTTTGAACCAATAATCATTGATTTACATTTTTTTTGGCATTTAAGTTTGATACAATTTTCCAGACACCAGTTTTCAATTATATAAATATCATTTTGAAGGTTAGCATTTAACTCATGTACATTATTACCTTTACTGTGTAAAGTAGAATCATCTGGATATAAATCTACTAATGAATTGTCTATGTTAGTGGTAAATCATTGATGTATAAAATAGATAACAGAGGGCCAAGGATAGAACCTTGTGGTACACCAGTTTTTATGTATTTAGTATCAGACATGACGTTATTGACCTTAACTTGTTGAATTCGTTCAAACAAGGATGACTTAAACAAGTCTACTGTGTACAGTTTGAAACATTATAGGTTTCACTCCTGTAAATATAGACAATGCAATTTCCCATAGGAACTCCCTTTGTGGCTAAAGCTGTGCCACTTTTACTATGAAGTTTTAGAAAAAATTATATCCTAGAACAGAAAGTTGATATGCACTACTTTTTTATTCAAAGGTCAAAACATGGGGCTGTGCGGCATATTTTCAACATTTATATGCCCCGAACTTCTAAGAGTTTAAACTTATATTAAAATTCTGCACTATCCCTACCTCCACTTTGGGTGTCCCTAAGAACTTAATTATTGCCACTTCCATCTGTTTTTATACTGGTAACATTCCCAAGTTATTTCTCTGTGAGATGAAACATAGAGATCATATCTGGGAACCAGTACGTAATCAAAATTAGATATCTATGAATATTATATATCTCCCCAAAATAGGCGTGGCTTGTGAAACAGCTGTATTTACAAAGTGCAACCTATAATATTCAAGTTTTTTCAATAAAATTATATGATTAACCAGATCAAAAGCTTTCTTTAAATCTAGAAATATAACTTCGTCTATTTCTCCATCATCTATATTTGTTAACCATTCATCTACTAATTTAGTAAGTGCAGTAGTGCACAAATGTTTAGGTCTGAAGCCTGACTGTGTAGTATTAAGAAGGTCATTACTATTTATATATATATATACAAACTATCAGCAATATGTCGTTCTATGATTTTGGAGAGACAAGGCAAAACTGCTATTGGTCTATAATTATCAGGATTACAAGCATCGCCACTTTTAAAAATTGGACAAACTCTTGCAGTTTTAAAAATACTTGGAAATTGACCACATTTGATGCTTAGATTAAATAAATATGTTAAAGCTGGTGCAATGACATCACTGCACATACTCAAAATGTTTGTTCCAACTTCATCTAAACCAGTTGCTTTAGACTTGTCAAGTTTTTTTAAATACATCTTTACATCTAAAATACTCATTTCTGGTATAATGAATTTTTCACTACCCTTTTGTAACTTTGATTTCACAAATCTGTTGAGTACATCGAAATTTGGACCTTCATCATCATTACATATTTTGTTACCAACTACACCTTCAGCAATATTTGTGAAATGCATATTAAATGTATTTGCTATATCAACATCATTTTCAATTACACTATTTTTATATTCTAAATGCGTGATATTATTATGTAATTTTTTGGGATTTAAACTTTTTACATACTTCCAAATAGTTTTACTATCTTTACAATTTGAAATAGCATTTTGAAAATAATTTTTTATGTTCAGTTCCTAAAACTTATTTTTGACCTTTACAAAAACACAAAACAAAACAAAACAACAATTTGATACTTGCATAGTACACAAAATTTTCAGATTAAAAAAAAATCGTTACCCCCTCTTTAAGGATGTTGGATGCTCCTCTTGTTTTTGATTTTTTTGCTAGATATTTGGAATTCTCTGGTTTTATCCATGTAGTGCCATTAAAAATTTTGCCCGCTAACCCTTTTTTAGCTCACCTGGCCCGAAGGGCCAAGTGAGCTTTTCTCATCACTTGGCGTCAGTCGTCGTCGCC